CAAAATATAGGAAAGGCGGGGGACCTTACTATTCAACCTGGGGCCATGTCCCACTTACACCGTTGAGTTGAGCTAGCTCAACGGTGTGACACAGTTGTTGCAAATTAAAAATTGAAAACAAGTGCAAAAAAAGAGAATCAAATGGCGAATTCAAAATTCAAAACGAGTGCAAAAAAAGAGAATCAAATGGCGAATTCAAAATTCAAAACGAGTGCAAAAAAAGAGAATCAAATGCCGCTGAACACTTTTTCCATATTTTCGCAATTGTAAAATGGAGAAAGAAAGTGGGGCAATCTGCTTTTGTCCATATTTTTCAGAAAATAAAAAAGAGAAGACGATCTCCGTGAGTGAAGCTCTCCTAAGTATACGGAACTCTCCGTGCACTTCGTGAAGTAGGAGACAGTACCTCACTACAGCTTGGAACGAACGTGGATGGTGTCCTGGCTATGTGCATTGACCACCCAAATAAAAGAAAAGAGTGCCTCCCCAAGTCTATTGAAGTGTCCTCCCACCTCTGTGAGATTGGCCTCCCACGTCTATCAGAGTGCCCTCCCTTGTCTGTCAGAGTGTCCTCCCACGAGGAGGTAATGATGGCTCAACGGCCGTTGAGCTAGCTACCCCGCTTCCAGAAAGGTAGCTAGCTCAACGGAAGAGGGCTTGGGTAGGGGGCATATTTGGGAGGATCGATACTGATCGATTATCCTACTAAAGAAAAGCAATCCAACTTTCGTTTTCCTTTTTTCTGAAAATCCGACCGCACGATGGACGGTGAGAGAACTCATCTCCTGGGTCGCCCCAGGTCACACGTGATAGAAAACTCGGCGTTGAACTTCTGAACGCTGCAAGTGGGAGATGGCCCCCGAAGAAATCTGGGGCCCATACCCAGCTTCGGCTATCGCCCTGAATACTGGAAACCGGGTCCAGTGTCCCCATCCTTTTCTCAAAACATTCCCAAAAAGGACAGAGAAATTCATATCCCATTGTAGTTCAAGTCCAAAAAAAACAGGGATGTATCCAGTCCCTTGGCTGATCAGACATATATACACGCTAAGTTGCAGCAACCAATCTGCAATTGCCAATTTACCATCTTGCGATACTGTTGCTATCTTCTTGCTCTGTGCCCAAGTTCTGAGGAACCAGGGACGGCCTCTTCCCTGGTGTCCTCTACTAGTACTCCAATCTGCAATGATCATCTGGCGGATGCTGGATCGGCTCTGATGTTGCTGCTGGTGGACGGAAATTCTCTCTTTTCTGAGGACTGCTGCGTTCCTTGCTTTCCATATAACTTGCATAATCGCTCCTCTGCGGGTCATGGCCACGTAACCCCACCCCTCCGCATACTTCAAATTCTTTTTGCCTTTCACTACCTTCCTACCACTACTCCTAAGACTATGTAGGAGTAGTTTTGTTTTCTTTGCTTCCCGTATTCAACATAAGCTGGGAAACGGGCCCAGCGTCCCTTACATATATGCCGTATGGGGCTGGACAAGGCACCCAAGGCACTTTCGGCCAAACCCATCGCAGGCCACAGCTCCATGCTCAACAGAAGGATCCCAAAAAACCGACGTCAACTCCATTCCTAAAAGGGGCGGACCCTAGTTTCTAGCGCAGAGAAATTACACACACATCCTATTTAGGACGAACTCACACTGCCACTATCTTAAATGTACCTGACGGGATTTACGGCTGGACTTGTATGAATCCGGCTGCAATTCAGTCCAGAAAAAAGTAAAACAGTGCTAGTCTGAGTAAGCCCTTACTCACTCTGATCCTTCACCGAATCTACCCACTACCCGCACAGAAGTCGGAAGAAAAAGGAAGAAAAATAATTCGGATGAAAAAGGTAGTAGTGGTAGGTAGGTGGTGAAGGTGCATTTGAGAGACGGAAAGAAAGAACCTGGCTTTTATTTTTTTTCCCCAACAAATGAAAATTGGACCATTTCTCGGTCTGCACGTGTCATCGGCCCTTGCTCCAATCCACATGAAAATTTAAATGTATCTGTGAGCTCTGAACGGGCCAGATACATTCGAGATCTGGGCAAGTCGGTGTAGAAGCTGAGTTGGCGGGGTGACAAATCGCTGTGGTGTGGAGGCTGGTATGTGGCGGTCGGGATCGCTAGTACCGGGGTAAGGAAGGTATATGTGTACGAGTGGTTGTATGGACTGGGGCCATAGTCAGAGAGCAGAAGGCTTGCGCGCCTTTGATATTCGGTTCCTCCTCTGCTCGGATTGGGGCAATCGGTCCACATGGCATAAGCGAGGCTGATCGCGTATGTCTAATCAATCAGTTATCTGATCAAAAGAACAAATAGACACCACGATATGCATTATCTTCCACCCATCGTGCAAACCAGTCCAAAGTGTAAGTCCATGCAATCCAACCAGTCGAGAGAATGATCATTCTCCATTCGTGCGAATAGTTAAGCATGCATCGAAGTGATCACTTCAGATTTCTGCTTTGTTCCCACCATCGGGGTAACAACTCAATCGATACCTGTGCGTGAGAGATCACTCATGCATTAACCATCGAATACCGAGGAGCAGAGAGAGGGACAAAATAAAATCTCATGTTCCCGCTGGTCTCTTTAGATTCAACAATACCCATCCTCGCGAGATCCGATTGAATCCAATGAGAAGAAGACCTTGGGAACTGATAGGGATGAGGGAGTTATCGAAAATTCACATAGAAAGTAAAAGAGAGAGAGAGAGAGAGAGAGAGAGAGAGAGAGAGAGAGAGAGAGAGAGAGAGAGAGAGAGAGAGAGAGAGAGTGTTACATGCTGAAAGCCTACACACGGGCCCCTCACGGGACCCGAGGTTGGAATAGRGCCCCCAGGTCGCGTCACCGCAACCTGAAGGCCCTATGGCATTTTTACTTGGGCCTGCATCAGAAAAACGCCAGCTTTAGATTATTTTTATAGTCTTTATTTTATTTATTTGCTGCTGTTTTTCTAACGGGTGTACTGTTGTCCGTTTTGTGGCCAGGTACACGCTTCTAGGGCCAGGGCCAGATTCAGGCCCAGAGGCTGAGCTCCTAAAAACGTTTGGACCTTTTCTTTTGTTTTCGAACAGATTTTGACCTGTTCGAACCCAGGCCAACGTAAGAACGTTTGGACCTTTTCTTTTGTTTTCGAACAGATTTTGACCTGTTCGAACCCAGGCCGACGTTGAGGCCGGGTACGTCCGCACAGGACTGGTTTGAAGGCAGGTACCAGGAAGATTAATCCTGGACAGGGCCTGGACGTCCGGTAGGGACCCAGGCAGGCCGTTTTAGGCCAAGGACTGAACCAGTTTTCGAAGCCTGCGATCTGGACCGCGGATCGGAGTTTCGATCTGCACGGTCCAGAACGCAGGCCGTGGGTTTTCAGTCCTGGCCCAGCACTACTTAAGCTGGGCCATTGCCCAGTTCGGACACAGAAGGTAC